GAAGATGAAGATCAAGATCAAGATCAAGATCAAGATGAAGATCAAGATGAAGATCAAGATGAAGATCAAGACGAAGATGAAGATCAAGATGAAGATGAAGATGAAGATGAAGATCAAGATCAAGATCAAGATCAAGATCAAGATCAAGATGAAGATGAAGATCATCTTCATCTTCATCTTCATCTTCATCTTCATCTTCATCTTCATTGTCAAGGATAAACGCCGATCTTCGGTTTAAGTTGTATATTCAAGCAAAAGTTACATATGAATCAGAGAAAAGTTAAAAGGAAACTGATATATTCAGAAAAGAAATTTATTATTCAATTGACAACGATCGACTGTGCCTGCTAGATCACGTGCCTTTTACAGTTCGGCCTGTCCTGACTTTCATGGACCGGCCTCGGCTAGTCATCTGTTACACTTCCGTCGCTTTCGTCTTCGTGTTCTGGGCTGAGTTGACACCAGCGCCTCATTTGATCGCTGGATATTATGCCGCAGTACTTCCGTTGCGTAATAGGTGCATCTGGTAAATCTTCCACAATGTATCGGTCATAGTCTAATACCTTCGTAACGACATACGGTCCCTTATACTTAGCATCTAGCTTATGCGATTCTCCTGTGGCCGCTGGAACTGCGGTGATCAACACGAGATCGCCTTCCTGATAACGCTGTGGTTGTTGATGACGTTCGTTGTACCGCTGTTGCCACTTAAATCTCTCTGCGTTGATATTTGCTTTGGCCTTGGCGAACACGTCATAACGCTTACCACTGTCTTCCGGCTCTGGGTCGTCGTGGATTGATTGGATCAATCTGTTTTGACTATAGTCGCGCAAATTGTAATGGAAAACTATATCATTTGGGTTTACTTTCGTTGTAGCATTAGGTTGTGAGTTAAGACTCCATTGTAATGTGGGCAGTGTAGTGTCCCAATCTTTCGTACTACTCATCATCGCACGTATGGCAGGTAATATAGTTTTGTTTATCCTTTCGGCTTTGCCGTTGCCTCTTGGTGTCCTCACTGCAATATTAACATGTCGTATACCGTGTGCTTGCAAAAACGTCTCCATCTCTTTAGAGGTGAACGCTGTCCCGCGATCCGTGGTGATTTGTACCGGTTGACCAAATGTAGACATTACCTCTTGTAACAAGGTAATTACCGGTGTGGACTTTGTATTACGTAAGATAGTATACTTAGAAAAAACACACACTAGAACGATGATATACTGATTTCCCTTTTTGCTTTTGGGAAATGGTCCCAGGTGGTCTATATGCACCGCTCGAAATGGTATCGGACTTATCTCTGCCAAGTGCATCAGACCCTCGGGCTTCCCTCCTCGCGCTTTGTACGTACAGCATTCTAAGCACGCGGCGATATACCCCTTAACGTAGCGTCGCATTCGATGGAACCAGAAATCTCGTTGAAGTCGCTGTAGTGTTTTCTCAACACCAAAGTGGCCTGAATCGTCATGGCAAGTTTTTGTAATACGCCACCTTACTGCCTGAGGGATTACCAACCGTCGCTCGCCCTTGACTTTGCGATATAACCGTCCTTTGTATACTTCGTAATCCTGATGGATTTGCTTTGCTGATGTTGAGCCGGATTTCAAGGATGCTACTATTCCCTGAAGTTTCTTATCCTGCATTTGCATCGGAAGCACCCAATCGCTACCACCCTCTTGCACAATGGACAAAACATTCTCTGCTACTGACTGGCATTCGCTTGATGGTAAACTGGGAACTCGACTCATTCCGTCTACATGTAGCATCTTATCGCCTTGTCGATGAACAGTTTTGAAATCGAATTCTTGTAATTTCAACCACCATCTGGCAATACGTGGAAGCAGTGGTGTTGTTGCTTTCGTTGTAACAATAGCATTGCAGTCGGTCACTACGGTGAATGGTTTTCCCAAAAGATACATGCGGAAACGTGAAAGCGTCTCAACTATCGCTAAAACTTCCAACTCGTGGCTAGTAAAACTTGACTCTGTCTCGCTGCATTGCCTACTAAAAAAAAACACTGGTTTCAAATCTTCATCTTCATGCTGGAATAAGATTCCGGAGAGTCCCAGGTGGCTAGCGTCAGTGTGTACCTCGTGCTGCTTAAGAGGATCGTCTAGCGTCAGCACCGGTTTGCTCGTTATAGCTTCCTTTAATCGTTCGAAAGCTTTTTGCTGTGATGCACCCCACTGGAAACAGGCATCTTTCTTCAGCAACATAGTGAGCGGAATTGCAAGGTAGCTGTACCCTTCTACGAATTTGCGAAAGAATCCTGTTAAACCCAGGAATTGCCTTACCTGGGTAACAGTCGTTGGCTGGGGAAACTCCTCAACACAGATCGTCTTCGCTTTCCCCGGGGATATACCTGCTTCAGACACATTATGGCCCAAGAAAATTACCTCGTTCGCCAAGAATCGGCACTTGGACGGTCGTAACGTAAGACCGTCTTTCTTTACCGCTTCCAATACCTCTCGTAAAACCAACATTCCTTCTTCGCAAGTCGAAGTAGCTATGATCAATTCGTCCACATAACTTACAACCTTGTCCCTGTTCTTCAACGCCTACACCATGCGCACCATCATTTCTTGGAATACCATAGGTGCATTGACTAGCCCGAACGGCATCACGTTATGCTCATACAGAACCTGATAATATCCACTGGTCATATCCAAAGTAGTGAAAAATTTTCCGCCGCTTAACTTAGCTAACTGCTCCTCAACCACTGGCATTGGAAAATGTTTTTTAACGGTAACCGCATTCAACGCGCGGTAATCTACGCACATCCTACTCTCTCCATTGGCCTTTGTCACCAACACTACAGAAGCGGCGTGTGGTGATGTGCTACGTCGAATGATGTCATTGTCCAAGAGTTCTCTTAATATTCTCGATAGCTCGCATTGCTTTGCAAATGGTACCTGGTACCGTTTACCTACTATAGAGCTTTCTGTTGTAACACCAATGTCCATTGTTGTAGTTCTGGACCTTCCCAGAGTGGAAATTCCTTCGGAAAAACATTGGCCGTACTCATTTAATAATTTAAGCACTTCCTGCTGTTTCTGCTGCGGTAGAACCTTGCTGACGTTAAACTGTGTCCCGCTTTTAATTTGCAACATCATCGAACCCGAATCAATGATCAGCCGACGATCATGACCACACAGTACATCCCTTCCCAGTAACATATCACAGTTGAGCATTCTATCTGGTACCTCATACAGCTTAGCACTGACAACCTTGTCTGCTAACTTCATTTGCGTATTTATAACACGCAAAACCTCAACCGTAGAACCTCCAAACCCCTTTAATCGTTGATATGTCGGCAAATGGTTCGCCTTCGTCACCGTTGCTGATTTCCTTATTAGCGAATGATCACTACCGGTGTCTATCAAGGCCTTATGCTTACTGCCTTCACACTCAACTTCTTCTATTATGGGCGGAACCTGTTGCTGCACACCATTGTTGCCATCAATCTTGGCAACCGTATGTTTCGAATTGGCTGAACACTTACGAGCGTCGTGCCCCACTTTAGAGCACTTGCTACATCGTGGCTTCTTCTGAGGTTGGGGGCACTTTGCCGCTATATGCCCAAACTCATTGCAGTTATAACATTTTACACGCTTACCCTTATTTTCTGCTGCTCCGTTGCTGACGTCCGTTGAATTTACACCCAGTGTAGTGCGTTGTCCACCACCTTGCGTCGATATTCGCAAATTCTCAAGCGACTGTCTTAATTCATTGGTAGTGCGCACATTCATTGCCAATAAAATGCGGGTAAGCGCACTGTCATTCAGTCCGTTTACGATGTAGGAGTTTATAGACTCCTCGTCTACATCTCCACGTCTGCCGATGGCTAACATATCGTAAAAATACTCGATGAGAGGCTCATTAATCTTGCGTCGTCGTGCTGCCAACTCTCGGTGAATGTCAGCTGACGATACGGTATATGGAAAATCTCGTAGCAACATTTGGACGTACTCTTGCCAAGATCCAAATACGGGCTCCAACCACGTCTTGGCTACTCCTTTCAACTTATGTTGAACCGCGAGAAGCACTATTTCCTTTTTCCATTTGTAAACTGGTTGCAATTGTTCAACTTTAATAACAAATTGTTGTGCCGTCATGACTTTCCGCAACGGGTCGAACTCCGGAAGAACTCCTACCACTTCCGTGATTGTATGTGTGTGAGACCGCTGTGTTGGTCGGTCTTGATACGATAAAGGTTCAGGAGCCCGCGCTCCATTCTCCGTTGCTGTCAACGCTCCTGCTTGCTCATCGTCTGCGCTATCTTGTGTCGTCAATGCCGGCTTTAGCGAAACTTCTATTGCTTCCACTGAATTTGCTAAACTTAACACAAGCTCCTGAAGTTGGCTGAACCGTTGTTCCCAAGGCTCCACTATTGGTAATTCTTGTACCTCTACCTCGTCTGTACCAAGGGCTGCCATCAGTGCGGCCACCTTGTGTGCTTTATTTCCAGTAACCGACACATCATTTTCTCGTAATAACGTGTTCAATTGCGCTACACTCAAATTGGCTAATTTTACCATAATTTTATCTGTACCGTTGTCGTTTTGAGCGCTTGTGTGCGATCCGTGCTCCGTCGTTGGTTCCTTAAGACGCTGTTCCCTAGATGTCGTTATTCTGCGCAATACGCTGAGATGCTCTGCGTCGTTCTCCGTTGTATTCGCCGTTGGTCCTATCAACACTCGTTGCAGTTCTCTATCCCGTTAAACTTTTGTAAACGTGCTCGATCCCACTTCTGATTCTGTCAAGGATAAACGCCGAACTTCGGTTTAAGTTGTATAGCAAAAGTTACATATGAATCAGAGAAAAGTTAAAAGGAAACTGATATATTCAGAAAAGAAATTTATTATTCAATTGACAACGATCGACTGTGCCTGCTAGATCACCTGCCTTTTACATCATCTTCATCTTCATCTTCATCTTCATCTTCATCTTCATCTTCATCTTCATCTTCATCTTCATCTTCATCTTCATCTTCATCTTCATCTTCATCTGCATCTTCTTCCTCGTCTTGGTCTTCATCTTTATCTTTTCCTTTATCCTGATCCAAATATGTCCATTATTTTCTTCATTTACATATTCACCTCCACCTTTGTTATTAGGTTAGGTATTTAAATTTTCCTTCCTCTTTGTCTTTATATTTAGGTTTCTTTACTTTTATTTTATTTTCTGTATTTATCCCTTTCTTCTCCATACTCAACTTTACCTTCTTCCTTGTTTGAGTCTAACCCTGCAAAAAATGGGACTAATCCGGGATGACTCCGGGAGCAATCACAAAGGAACTTGCGACTAATACCACTTTTGATCTCTTTATATGGAATGAACTGTTCGCTTTTGTTCGAGCATGTCCTATGAAGAGACTAATTGTTCACCTTTATACCCAAAAGGGTATAAAAAGCGACTAGTCACTTTTAAAAAATAAAAATAAAAATTTGCGCCAGCTGAGATTCGAACCGGGTTGCTCAGTTTGGTTAGACGAATACTCTCTCTGTGTGCCAACGCCGCACATGAAATTTCACTGACTAAGTGCGTACATATCATCAAATCATTAGTAGTACCCGTTAGAGATGAGTTGGGGACTATTTGATCTCCAATTATACCCATAAGGGATGAGTCGAGACTAATTGACCTCCATTATTACCCGTATGAGACAAGTTACGACTAATTAATGCCCCATCGTACCCGATTGAGAGTAATCTCGGAATACTCTCTTTAGAGATTAGTCGCACAATTTTTTGCAGGGAATCTATTCATGTACATACATGCATACATCTTATTCTTAAACTGGTGCTTAGCACGTTTCTGTATCAGTATCAATATTAAAGCATACATTTAGGGGGCATTTCCGCCCCAACCATGTACATGTATGGCATTGGTATTGGTGTGACTTTTGTATTGATTTTTTCGGTATATTTTAAACTAGTTTGACATTTTAAAAATTGCCTGCACATCAGCATCAAAATACCTTTCTAATGATATATAATTGTTTATACCTTAGAAGCATAGTTTAGCCGTAAAAGGGGTGTTAAAGAAACATGATTGCCTGTTTATATAATGATGATTAAATTTCGATCTTCATAGTATATTTTTATTTAAATTAGATGTGTAAAAAAGTTATTTTTTTATTTTTATTTATATGTATTGCTTGAGTGCAAGTAAAAAACGTACACATACAAACATTTTGACAGAGTGTTCTTGAACCGCGATATAAAAGAAGCAGAGATGTTCAATGTGACTATAGTTGTTAAAATAAAATTAAAAATTTATAAAATACACATTAAACGTAATCAATTCCGATTTTTAACTATCATTCTAATATTTTTAAGCGTTTTGGCCAATAACTCGTATTTACACTTAATACAGCGAGGTAGCCGTGGTGCTCGCGCGATGCTTGTCATGCGCAACTTCATAGGCTTGGCAGACGATCTTCGTTGCATGTTATTGGCTATTTTTACAACGCTTTTATCAATATGCAGCGTTGTACATCCAGACCACCATTTACACTATAAATATAGCAAAAGTATTTATGGCAACCTAGTCTAGATATCAACCTCGTCGTAGGTATCATATCAAAGACATACAATTAGAAGACTATAGAGGTAGATGTCGCCCCGCCAGAAGAAGTTAAATATTGCGCCTAAGTATATGCACTACACACGCTACGGCGGAAATAGACGACACGCCATTTCTTTAAATGAAATTAATTGCTGCTATATGTATATATGTACATTACATTGCATCACTCCCCATACAAAAAAAAAAATCGGTACTGTTTTTCCATTGGAATTATAAGATCTATTATATTTTAAGACGTCCACCAAAATATTTCTGAAAAATATTAAGATTTTTTTCAAAGATTGGTATAAGAAAGTAGAATTAAGATGTGTTTGTATTTGAAAAAATGGGGCCCGAATGTCTTTTTTTTGCACATAAATCAAAAAAGTGGGAAAATACCTTTCTGCCGAGATCCCATAAGTCTAAATCAGAATAGTTTTGGTCCAGTTATTTAAGTTTTTCGTAAATCAATCTTTGAAAAAAACAGCATCAAAAATCTCATTATTACGATTCCGTTTAAGAGATTGTTAAATATTTTTATGCAGATTTTTTAAGCCTAATCTGTTTTGTCATCTGATGGGACTTTTTTCAAAAAGTTATTTAAGAAACTATTTTTATTCATATAATGTTTAGCTGAGGGAGAGCGGGAGACCAGGTTTAAAGGCGACCATATATTAATTGGGGGACTCCATTGGAGGAGTCGTGCTCTAGCTGCCGTAGGCTGCTGTGCAATGAGCTGGGATTTATTTGGGGGGACTCCATTGGAGGAGTCATGCTCTAGCTGCCGTAGGCTGCTGTGGAAATGAGCTGGGGCGACTCC